GATGGACCTCAAACCAATCTGTTCAGTGTCAGATAATGATCCAAGAATCTTGGCATGCCAATAATGCTAGAACCAACCAACAGGGCTCGCCAACTTCACTGTTTATCGCGTGATACTGATCTCAGAACTGATCCAATACAGCATCCAACAGCAAGATGTGAACACTTACCCAGTGAACAAAGGTTCATTGTACCAATAAAAGACCATGTGTAGAGTTTTAAACAATAATGTCCCCTCCTGCTACAAGGAATACACACAAAAATAACACCATCTGTATCACTATACTATCTGTTTGAACCTGAGACCATCACAGGCAGCAAAACCAGTTCACCATGGATGCCACCACTAGAGGTAATATGTTTCTGTTCAGGGAACAGATGTTGAATTTATATCGTGTGACATTGTGTACATACGGTACGAGTGAGTTAGAAAGAGAGATTGGGAGAGCATAGTCTATACATTTTACATATAGTTAAATAAAGTTGCATAAACATGTTGGAAATTGAAATCACCTTTTCTATGCAGAAGTGCCAGCAACTCAAAGAAATAATATGTCATTATTCCGGCATGAACATTGTAAATAAACATCTTTTTGATGACGTCACGGTCTGTTTTTCTATACTGTCAATAGTTAGTAAAATCACCTCCCCATTACTGAGTAATAGTGAGCTGCAAGCAGCTAAATTGGGTATTTACATTGATTGCTTGTGGCAACCGAGCATTTATTATAGCTCTCTCTCGAAATCATTTCAAATTTCCTGTCGAGTTTACTTCACAAAACCACATCAGTTTCACATGTAATTGTGCATTGCATTTAATACTGACATTAAATACCTCCTCCTGTGCTTGATACTGAAGCACACCCTGCTGAGGAGTTTTCCATAACTGCATTGACATCTTTCCTGGACTCAGGACTCTGGATTTCAGCAGATACACCCGAATGTGTCTGTTTGACGAGCAATGCTGCTGTTGACCAGGTTATTTTAATTGACATATTGCGACTTGACTGGTGTTGCATGGCTGGTCTCAAATTGGTTGCTGAACTGGGGAAACCACATTATTGTGTTTTAGAGCACAGAAGTAATTAGTACGTCTGTTAGTAAATAAAACCTCTAGTACCTTGGAAGTTGATATACTACTTCCTCAGTGGGTTGACGCCTCAAAAGTGTAACCGTTTCTGGCGGTTACCTCAAAAGTTGTTTTTATAGCCTTAATTTCCATTCTACCAAAGCCAAAAGTACTTGGAAGGTTGATGTGGATTATGTTGTGATGCTCTGCCAACTGTGTGCCTGCAGATGGAGAGCCATTAAAGCAATGGTCTTTTGTAAACCTTGGTTGTCTCCCAAGGGAGAATCAAGGGTTTCTGCATGTTGGGCAATTTAAAAGGAAAATCCGCCACCTTCTATGTGGATGTCCAATTAGTGCTGATGGCAAATGTAGTCCCAGTGCATGCTATATTGACCGAGAAAGCTGATCTCTCCTGCTGTGCCTATATGAACTAGGATGCATTGCACGAGAGTGGCGAGTTTGCTTTGTCTGAAAAAATAAAATGATCACTAAATGTCAATGAATCAGGAAAATATGTCAGGAAATATTTTTAAACCTAAACAGAAAAATACAACCGTGCACATTCTGAATTCAAGTTTCTCTCTTACACGGAACTAAGACGGGCTTCGTTGAGACATCGTAAAACACGTTTCATTCAAACTAGACAGAAATGTCGAGACGCTGTTTTTCCTCCGCTGTATCTCGTGTCTCGTTGGCATTTCTCACACAATTTAGCAGATGATACAAATAGCCCCCAAAACGCCCCGCTGGTCTTGGTTTTCTTTTTTAGTTTATCTTAGGGAATCTGAAGAAGATCTCCAGCAGAGTGTGGAGGGAAACATTCATGCATAGTGACACAGTCACGGCTCGCTCTCTGGGTTGTCGTAGGTGACAGCATCCAACAAAAGCTCCCCACTTTGACTTTCATTACAGCAGAATGATTCCGTTTCTGTTGGCATCGGAGGGTAATTTGAGTGAAAGCTCCACCAGTCAGTGTTTGCTCTCGGCAGCTCAGATTCTAAAGGGTCTTCGTCGGCCATATCTTCCCCCCTGCAGCCGAGAGCGGCCTCCCTCTGGCTGAATACAGCCAAAACATCGTAAAATGTACACTGTAAAGAAAATCCTCGTCCGTAAATATCACTGCACTCATATTTTGGGATGCCATTTTTCACTATTGGAAACATAACACAAACAAAGAGACTGAGGACATTTTTGAATGCAATCTTTTTAGCTACTGAAGCTGAAGTAGCACTCTGTAGTTCTTCCTTATCCCAAGTACATCACTGTCATGGTACTGGAAGAAGAACAGATGTTGCAGCTGCGCCCTAGATATGATTGGGCAGTGACCTAGGACTGCTGAAAGAACAACATTGGTTTTATTTGCGTTTGTCTGCTAGCTTCTAACCACACATTAGATCAGCCAGATACTTGTACTTCTTTGTGTTAAGTTAAACAAGCAGTAAAGTAGCCATTGCCATGAAATACCACTAGTCTTAATTCAAAAACAAAAAGGTACAATTAAGATCTATTATGTACACAGTTAAACTACTGACATCATATTAAGGTGAAACAAATGACTTACCACATTTTTCAAAGGTGACATATTGAACTGAGAATATGCTACCGTTGACTATACCTCAACTACAATAAATATTTTATATCAGTTTATCATCTTGAAAAAGGGGGGGAAATGAGCCGTTACAGCAACCTAAGTGTTATAAAGAACTCACAATTTATGGTACAATTAACAACAGTAGGTTTTGTGTGACCCCTCATCATCCCTCATCCAAAGTCTATGTTCAATCCCAGCCTTTTTGGCAAAAACACCATTCAACTCAGCCCAAATAATTAGTACCAGACATGAGCTAAAATAGACATTTAGACATGCAAATAAATGGAGAAAAACACGACCCTGATCCAGAATACACTTTTGCTTCCTGAACAGAATAGTCACCTGGGGCTTTTAGTTTTAAATAAAATGCAGGATACAGCATTAGGTCAGTGTCTTTCTGATGTTTGGCCGTAACCAAGAATTTACTGTAATCATAAGAGCTGAGAGCAGTTTCGAACATATTCAGTGTTTTTTTTGTCATATATCTAATAAGTTCACTAAATAAAACAGACATTTCACTCATTAAAATCCTCATTCCGGTATGTATGTTTTTAGGAATATTATAGCAGTTATAAATTGCCATTGGCTATGATTGAAATGGTTGCAACATTGGTGCAATTGGATCTCAGGTGTGCCCTGAGAAAAAACAAAGCAAAACTAAATTATTGAATTAAACTAAACAATTCATTGAGCTTATATACAAACCTGTTGTGGTAAGTTAATAACCAGGTCTGTCAGTTCAAGTCAAGTCAGTTTTATTTGTATAGCCCAATATCACACATTTTTCTCAGGGGGCTTTACAATATGTACAACATATGACACCCTATGTCCTTTTCGACCCTCCAAAAACAAACCTCTTCCGTGGGGGAAAGGCCCGTCAATCGAACCCAGGCCCCTCTTGAGGCAACAGTTCTAGCCACCACACCACCATGCAGCCCAGAATAGAACAACATGATGCAGTTATTAATATAGACAATCCATATGACAAACAGATGTCAAGTTCGTCGAGATGTTTCTTCATTTGCTCATGTTTTGTCGATGTGCAGGTGTTTTCTTAATTTACAGTGCATTGACCTCTCGGGGCCACCATACATTTAACTTGTCTGACAACAAGAACTTTTTGAGATTAACAAAACTGTTGTCTGTCATTTAGGTTTATGGTCTTGTCAATCAAACCCTTGTATTTTCCATTACTTATGTTCAATCTAACAATAATGCTTGGCTTTGTTTTTTGCGGTAGAATACTTTTTTTTTTAATAACTGGGAAGAATGTAGGTCTATGCTGTACATAGGTATCGAGATGTGCGCATTAGTGGCTTGACAAGTGTATGGTGATATTCTAATAATGCCTGACCTTACTTTAAGGAGATTAGCATGAGGGAATAAGAAGTCTAATGAAGGATGTCACTACTATGAAGGATACTGTGTTTCTTGGAAAGCAGAAGCCATTAGCATGCGTGCAATAGCCCCAGCTGTCAGGTCTGTGTCTGAGAGAGTAACGACTTTGGCTGCAGCTCTTGCCAGTAAAAACTGCCTCTACTCAACCTCTTCTACTTGAAATCCCAAAAATGTGTCCCAACGCAGAAGAAAAAGATGGACAATGTCAGCCTTGTCTGCGGTAAGGTGTTTCCTAAGTTATGGCTATCGACGTGTTGAGGCAAGATGAATCTGCACAAAGACGATTGAACTCCTAATTGAAATCAGTAGCACTGGTTGTGAAGAAACTTCATAGTACGATGATTGATGGTCCGGGGTCAAGTCCTCATTCACTAAGGTTCAGAATGCACTGAGGTTGGTCCTCACTCTACTTTCGATCTCTATCACATGAATGACAAGGACAATTATCCTGGTGAATACGCCGAGAGAGTGCACAGACCAGCAGGCTGATGCATCTTGAGTTCTTTGCTCTCGGTCATCTATGTGTTTTCCTTTTTCCTTACTAGAACCACTGGGACTGGCTTGCACACATGGACTGCCAGGCACAGTGCACTGCTAGTTCCAGCGTATTCCTGCAGTCTTGTTCTGATATTTTGGAGACACATGCTGATAGTTGCTGTGCCTCAAAGAAAGATTACTGCTTGTGTTGAAAACCAACCAGTAAAACATTTGCCCATGGAGAACAGGTAGTTATCTAGGTATGTTGCTCCTCCTCAGTCTGTCTTTTGACTCTTAGAGATAAGTATGCTCAGTATTCAATGCAAATGCTTGGCAGACAGTTCAATTCCTTCTGGATGATTTTGGGGGGGGGGCTGTCTATCCCTTTCCCTCCCTCTGTGTGTGTCTCTTTCCCTCTCTCTCTCTTTCCTTGCTGGCAGCAGCGTCTGTACTGTTGGCAGGAGTGAACAGAATAAAAACAGCAACACCAGACACAGAGGGGGGAAAAAGCAAAGTGATCTATTGAACCGTAGTCTTTGCCTTCTCTTAATTACGCCGAGTCTCATATCTTTTTCTCCTTTTTCACCTTTTTTCCCTACTCTTTAAGACTTCGGGCTTGTGGTAATTAGTTAGAAGAGAATAAAACCAGCTGATCGGGAGAGGGGTGGTGCATTTTCCAGCGAGATGGCTAACAGAAACATTCTGTTGGTCCTCTTTGGACTCTTCCTCTTAGCACTGATTCAGCCCTCTCTTCAAGGAGGTAAGTGTGAGCTACAGGTGAATTCATTTTTACTGCATCAATCACAGACTTAAACAGGTGCAGTGTCTTTATTTCTGCTTCTTTGTCCCTCAGAGACATAAAACCATCTGAAGTACTTAAAAGCTTTGCTGATACTTATCAGCTATAAGGTATCAGTGAGTGCTTTCACTTATTTTGATTTAAACATCATATTATATATACAATCCATTGATATGTTACAGTGCAATTTAGTGTAACTTTATATTAAATGTATGGTGTATGGTGTTTAATTTTGCAATTGCATTGCTGAGTAGTTTTGGTTTGATGCTATAAATGCATGATGATATAAAGCCACATGCTGCAGGAATGAAAATGAAAGATGATCTTCTGCACACTTACTGAAGCCCTGAGTAGTGGTGCTCCATCTCACTGCTGTTAAAGAAGACTAATAGATCGAGAGGAGGTTTGTTCTTTCAATCATATTTACATGTCCGTTGCTGCTAAGTTTAAAGTGAGTTTCAGCATTGTCCACGACTTGACCAGATGTTTTTGTCTCATGGCTTTAAATTTGTATTGAAAGAAATAACCCTGCATCATAAATTCATAATAATACAAAGTTGATAAAAAGCAACTGGTCATTGTATGGTTCTCTATACTATTTTGTCACGGATATGCATTTTTTATTTTATTTCCAACAGTTAAATCACATCCTACACACACACACATGTGCATACAAAGTGTATGTTTACATGCCTGCAACCATATTCTATAACATGTCAGGAAGAGAAATTTCTCCAGCTGGTCTCATTCCACTTGGTTTAAATTCACCCCCAATGAAAGCTCTGACCTTCTTCTCTTGAAGTAATAGCACTGTTCTGCATATTTAAGAAGCAGATTTGAGGGGTTAGCTTCAAGTGCAGTTTAAAGTTATGGCTTATCTGTTACAGACGGTGTGAGAGTACTGAGCATGCCTTTCCTCACACTCTCATTCAACCTAGAAGTTAGCTTTTCCCCCTCTTTCTGCATTGCTTTAAATAGGTTCTTGCTCATAGCATCTGGGGCTGGGTATGATGGAATCAAGTCCATGTTCTGTTGTACTTATTTTCTTAAAAGTCACAGCTGTTGGTGTTCCTTATCGTTCGGTGTCCTTTTAGATGCGTTCTGTTTAGATTGTTAGATTCCTAAAAGAAACATATTGTCCATATAAAGTCTAATTTGTTCCTAGTTATGTTGTCAGCCTCCTCTAATTTAATCATGTTCAGAAAGTTTACAAAGTCTGTTTTGGTAAGGTCATAGATTGTATCATCTAAGAATTTATTCGCCCCTCTTCTCTCTGCCTTATAGCACATTTATCCTTTCTTCTTTGTACCAGCCACATTTTGAGGTACATTCAAGCAACTTAGCAGGTAGAGGCAGCTAATATCAATATTGGCTTTGCAACAAAACTTTGATCTCAAGTGAGTGTTGAGATTGTCTTTCATAACCTGTGGCACTCAAAGTAGTTCCATCTATGTCTGTACACTCTAACTTGAAAAGAACCCTCTCTTGGCTGGTCCAAAGGTAAATTATCTGTGAGTAACATTAACCACATTAACACCCCAATGCACTCGTTGAATGCCTCTGCACAGAAAACATCTGTTACGGTCGTAAAAAATTCAACCCTTGAATTATGGTGTAGTGCAGGGCTTTTGCCATTGACAATTGTAAATTAGTTATGCTCCTAGAGAAAACAAGAAGGAGTATGTTAATAAATATGCCCCCTGTCATGTTACCCTATAACCTTGCAGGTATTGTAGTATGTTTGGTGGTGCTCCCTTGTACGACAGAGGAGGTTGTGTTGACGCATCTTGCGCTCAGTGGCCTCTATTATTTATTGCAACATTTGATAAACGAATCAAACCCAGACCTTTTCACTGCCCTAATAAAAGGAAGAGTGAACAGCTCATTAGGTATTTGCAGATTCTCTTTGAAATGATGCCAACATTGTTGTTCATTATTTACTTTTACATTGTAAATTCCCAGTGTACAAAGTATCGTGTTTCTCTGTTTCTTAACTTAATATATGTATATGTATTCCTCCAGAAAACCTGAACATCCAGCTGGTAGACTTGTGCCAAAGTCATTAGTTTGGCGTTAATGACAGTGGGCGATGAAAAGGGGAATATAGCTGCTCTGTTCCTTCAAAGTCTGCTAAGAATTGAAGGGGTTGTGGGATGTTTTCTTTAGTGCTGTGCTGCTAGAAGCCAGTTTGCCTCATTTGGCATTGGCCAGGTTCAGCCCTGAGACTTCAGAGGAATTGAATACATTAATCGGTGACACTCGCCTGGCTGTATGTGAAGTTAAAAACAAACAGTGCAGCGTGGATGACATGCTTTAGTTGTGAGATGTTAGATACCCAAACTGAGTGTCTTGATTGCCCAAGCAAGTGGTGCTTCAGGCTTTATTCATAGTATGTGTTGTGGACACCTCTCTGGCTCTAATTCCTCTTCTGGCATGGTTGAGCGCCAACCACAGCATACTGGATTAATGTGACACACACAGTTGGCATCCCAATTACTCTAAAGAAATAGACCATTTGAAGTAACGTCAGAGCAATACATGAAAGTTTTTCCTGTGAGCTTTTGTTAAATTTCTTGAACATCTTTCATGCCGGCGCCACAAAGTCCCTTTAATTTGTTGATGTTTAGTACTTTGGTGTCATTTGTAGTGACCTCATTCAGTAATCATTTGGGAAGGAGCCTTTTGGTTACAACCACTGACTGACCAAGGTCTGCTATTGTGAAAGAACTGTTATTCCATGTATTCATGTCTTACTCTGGCACACATCCTGGGAAAGTGTTAGGAGACCGGACAATTTCACCCACAGTTTGCATTTTTACATTAAAGCATGTTGGCTGGCTGCGAAGTCACTTTCTGCATCAAAGCACCAAGCCAGAAGCGATTACTAACATTTTTTCCAATTACCATTTTTACTGTAACGACTGTTATAGTGAGAATACTGGATGTTTGGGACGGATGGGTTGTTTTAATAGACATGTAATTCAAACGGACTGCATTGTAAATGTCTAGGGTACAACTCCTTTGCACTATACTCGTCATTTTTGACTGAAGGTAGTTTTATCTTTGCAGACCTAATTTACTGTGTGATACAATCCAAGTCTTTCAGAAATGGATGGCTGAGTTGTAAGAATGTTGGATCACAAGTCAGTGAGTCAAACGCCTACAGGTTTCTCACAAAGGAATCACTTTTACATACGTAGATATACTGCATGTGCACAGTTACTGTTCGGGTATTTACCTAATAGCAAGTCTGCACTATTGCTGAAAAAACGCATCCATTAATAATTTGTTTAGCTCTTACTCTTTGGTTGTGGATGAATGTCAGTCCTAGCATCCCATTCAGATGTTTGGTCTGCAAACAACTTCTGCAAGTATTCAACAAAGAAGCACATTAACTCAAATGATTCATTCCAGCCACTCTGCAAGCAGCCCTCGCCAGGCTGTTAGCTGCAACGAGCAGCCTCACCGGGCCAGCAGTCTGAAATTGCTCCCGAGAGGAATGTTTTCATCTTGAGCCGCCAATGCCCACTGATGTCCAACTCCTTCTAGGTTTACAGACAACATGAGCACAACATTAATATAGAAAATGGTTTTTTTATAAAAAGTCATAACTGATGATGATACAAGATGGTAATAAAATACAATTCAGATTAAACACATTACGTCAATGTAATCAAAATCATCTGGCATGAAAACATTGTGGGAGAGGGCGAGGGTAAACAAGGCACATTAGGCCTTTGGCATCAATAATTGGTTTAAATCAAACCAAACTATTTTTAAAGTTTTGATAGGTTTAAGCAACACAAGGACATGTTCTGTTCCCACATAACACGTTTGCAGACTGGACTGGATGATCATGAATTCTGTTCTCTTTCACATAAATCATAGATTTTATGCTTTCCCTGTTCAACTATGTAAACCGCTTTTTTCCTTGCCAGGATATTGTAAAAGTGAAACTGTCAATATTTTGTTCATAAATCTGATTGATGATTCCTCACTCAGTTATGTTTTTTTCCTCACAATTCAGATGTTGGTCCACAATATTACATTGAAATAGGTGATTTCAGTTTTGAAAAAAAAACTTGCTTCATGTCCTATACTCATTATTTCAGCAGCAAATACAACTCTGTCACTTTGCTTCTATTTTCAACTGTCACATCATATGTATTTTGTTGAAAGAGCTTAAGAAAGAGGAAAAAAAGAGACGGCACATTGTATTTGATCTGACATTTCACATCTCTCACAATAGTGAATGTATCTCTTCATGGTCTATTTGACATTGCACCTACGGTCACATCAATCAGTTTACGGACTGGAGTCATGATGTAAATTATTATTCCACTAGCTTTTTGTGGTATCACATTGCTGTTATCTTCAACCATGGCATTTTGTCATGTTCAACTCTGAAATACTTATACAGCAGAGTCCACTGCTGTTACAAACCCCTTTTTGTTTGTTTAAAATCCATGTCTTTCCTAATTCTGTAATGATACCCTGTCAGCTTCCCGTGGGAAGACTTCACCCAAGACACAGAAAGGCCAGCAAATAAACAATGAGAAGATTAGAATCTGTTTTTTTGAGGGTTTAAAATATTGTCATCTGTGGGCTCTGAAGTTGTTTGCCGGTGCATACCTCAAACCGATTTTAGAGAAGTGTCACTAAGACAAGGTTGGGCAAGTGTAGAAAGCGAAGGTGGAGTCAAGTTGAGGTTTAGCTATATGTGCAACAGGACAGGACTTTGGCAAGAGAAAACCAGAGTTCTGGTTTCTGTTTGTAGTCCGAGTAGTAGTCACTAATCACGTTTGGTTGTCCATCGTCTGACTGATAGATGGGTTCTGGGATTGGGTTGAGGTGGGTGCAAGAAAAAGATTGACTTTCCCATTTTAATTTTTACTTTACTTAATGCTCCTCACACTCTCCTCTTTCACCCTCCACATGCTGTGGAAAATAGACAGTGGAAGGGGTGGCTGATAGTGGGCCAGTTGTCATATGTCTGATAACAGGAGATGTAAGGGTGCCAGCCACCACAGTGTTTGCTTAAATGCACTGTTGCTCTTAGTTGCAGTATGAGAGCTTTCTATAAAGAGAGAATCCAAACCTCCTCTTTGGGGACAGTGGTTTTGGATAAGTCTGAACAGCAAACAGTTGTCATCTTGCCAAAATATTTTTCCATTTTATCAAGAGTGATGGAAATAGTGTTGCAGAGTTGTGTAAATGTCAGGTGGTCAAAGTGGTAAAAACACATGCAAATTGTTCCATCAACTCTTTGACAAGTCAATATTTTGTGATAGACCAAATATTAAACAAACACAGCGCAGGGTAGTAGAAATATAACATTACTCACCAGCTTGGTGGAGATGAAGTAAAACTAAACTGCATGTTACAAAGAGAAATTGCAAAAACTGTCATTAACATGGGAGGAACTACGGAAAAAAACGTCATAGGCTTTGGCTTTGGCTTTATTCAATTACGAACTAAGTTCCTACATCCAATTACCCAACTTCTCTTCTAGCCTGTCTTTATTCATGAACCCAGTAACCCATATCCCCCATAAAAAGTGTTTAAAGACACTATTAAAGACACTATAAGATTTCCAAATAGACTATGGAATTCATAGCTGGTCTTTTCCACATGTTAACATGTGTCCGGTGGTCATTTTATCAAAATTCAAAAGAATGGAATTGGAGAGACCAAAACATTCGCACACACATTATGTTGTTTACTGAATTCTGGTTATGAAATTTCTCAGCAATTCCTGCTGTATTATACTGTAATGGACCTGTCCCAAGCTGAATAATATAGTTTTAAGAAAGAGATTTTAACTTATCATGCTCTAGTTTGCTCAGATCAAATCACTGAAACAGGTCACAACATGGTAATACATTTATTCATCAACGTTATTGATATCACAAAAACTCATGGCAGACTCTTGACTGGAGATGACTGGCTCGTCTAATCTGTTGTGCTATACAAGTCAATCTTGTCCCTCGCACACATTCCAGTACATTCACATGACCTGGCCTGGTTCACAAGGAACGTATGCGCATGATGATGATAACTATAATTAAGATAATCATGAAGAAATCTTCAAATTTATTGACATTGGTCAGGTCACTTGGCCGATGTCACAATGAACCTAATGCACCCTGTAACAGTGCTACAGTAGCACGATGGGATTCTAAGCAAGAGGAAAACTGGAGCAGACACACACTCCCTCCTACGTCGCTTGCAGCGCAGAGACAGGAAATCCTCCTTTTGATTGTGAAATGAAGGAGCAGAATTGAGAACAATCACTCCAACCCCTGTCGTGTGGTGCCTGCACCTGAGTTCTCTGCCATGAAGCCAATGGCATGGGCAAACTGACTGCAAACACATGCACACACACACACACACACATTACTTACATTGCCTAAGCCGCTTCATAATATAATAAATAACCCTGGACGTTATTATTTATTCCTCATTTTTATTTGAGCCTGCAGGATTCGGAGTGCTCTTCAGTAAGTCGTCAATATTGCAAGCCAAACCCCAAGAAAGCCGATTAGTTCTGTCCAACTCTGAGATCTAAATGAGTCAGGATGAGTTAAAAGTCTACCTCCCTCTCATCTGTCAATATGTTCTTTCAGGGAGGAATTTTGTGTCCAAAGCCACAGCTGCTGCCATTACTGTTCCCATTTAAACTACTGCTGAAAAAATCTAAAAGAAGGAATACCTCCTTGCTTATTTTCTTTACAAGCTAGTTAACCCACATTTATTTGTTCTCAGTATCCTTTATATGCTGTTCTATCTTCAGAACCCAACCAACAGTTGATTCTTAGAGTATAGGCTACAGTACTTCTAGACAATGCACTTCACTGATTTCTTCCATTGATTGGCACTCACTGCTCAATTTCTTAACCATACCAGTGCAATAGAACGGATGTTATCGTGGCACAAACCCATTAAATGTCACAGCTAGTTAGTGAAAAGGTCAAATCCTTCTTCATTGCAAATTGCAGGCATTTTTAATAAACGGCATAGATTTGGTATTTTTGGCATTCTTCAGTGGCATGTGTCATCAATTTTCATTTAAATAAATCAGACAGTAATACCTTGTAATGCTCATTCCCAAATGGACACACTCAGTGGACAGAACTCAAAGCACAGTGTTGACACAGTATTCGCTAATAAACACATGCACGCCTTTGACATGTGGTTTAAATGAATTGGCTTCCCAACACATGCAAGGGACATAAAACATAATCATCGTGGTCCTGCAGCTCCATTCTCTCAATTTTAGTGATATCAACCATGTTTTTCCCTCAAAAATATAACTTTGTATTTTTGGCCTTAGCTCACCAGCTTTGTTGGATTTAGCTGTTAGTTGTCCCAGAACAACTAGAGGAATTTCTTTTATTTCTGTTGCTGCTCTTGCATACATGAGGCCACCATGTCTGGGATCCAGAATGACCATCTCAGGAATTACTCTAGTTTGCAGCCAAAAATCAGTTGAGAAATGAGGCTAGGGGATGTAGGTGGGGGTTGAGGGTTGAGGGTGTCCACTGTGCTGCAGCAGCTTTCTGAGAGAAGGTCTCCAACTGCAATACCTCATCAGAATGAAAACAATTGGAATTTTCTCCTTATCAAGCCTATTAAGTATTTTTTGTTTTTTGTTGCTTTCACTTTGGCTCTGGCTGGAGCAGCTGTGTTCACGTTGCATTGTGTGACACATCACTGCTATGACCTGGAGCAGATGTGTAGGCCAAGGACAGAATTCCGTTTTTAATTTCTTTCACAGATGATCAAAGTGTTTAGAAATGTTTATCCAATCAATTGGGTTATTGTCCAGAAATGCTGTTGCAAGCATTGCAAAAAAAAAAAATACTTTTATGACACTTTTAGCTAGTGTCACGAGTGCTGGTGATAGAAGATGACCTTTTCTTTCTCTGTTGTGTGTTCGAGGTGTGTATGTACCACCTGGTGCTGGGATCGGACCAGGAGGCGCCGGACCAGGAACTGGATTCTTTCCAGGTAACAGAGGCTCCAATGACTGTCTGGACAGTTTAAAGAAAAGTAACACAGGCACAACGAACAAAGTCTGTTTGTCTTTAGCAAAGTTATAACAGTTGAATAATACTACCGTAGTCCAGAGGTTTTACTAAAAAGAAACACTAGTATAACAATATCTGAATGTAAATATACTCACAGAAGTAGTATATACTATATACTACTATATAAAAATGACAGTTGGTTTGATGGTTGAAATGCACGCCTTTAGGATGATGTGACAGTAATGCTTTAAACTGTTTTAAATGACCTACTCAAAGTTAATGCGCTTCAGTCTTCTGCAAAAACCCCAAACCATACGTGCTCTTTGTCTTTCCTAGTATCACAAACTATTCAAGTACAATACTACAAATACTCATAAACAGCAATGCCAACTTACCAACAACTTACAATGTATTACTTTCATTGCAGTATGGTCACATTTAGAAAGTAGAACATCGATTTTTAAGCACATGCACGTCTGTATGGACCTCTGCTCCATCATAATATAAAAACGAATATGCATAAATGTTTAAAATGACACAAGACACACTCAAAGTCAGCTGGTGTAATGATAAACTGTTCTACCAAAAAACTGTCCATTACATCATGACATGTAGGCCGACCATAACCCTGCTGTTTGATTGATGTTTTACAAGGGTCTGCTGGAGGAGTGCCTGTGGGCTATAAACCAGCTAAAGCTGCAGGTGAGTAGAAGAAACATTAGATTTATGATCCCCCCCCATCTACTGTATAAAATATGTTTATAACATTTACATCTGGTTTATAGTGAACTGGTGCACTGTTTCAATGGTTTGGATATATATTGTATATTAAAAAAAGGTTTGTTTCTATGTAGAAAATAATATTGTAAGATATTTAGAAATCGGTCTTGAACAGATGTTTCATGATCCCCTGATACCTGATGGATTTAATGATGAATCAAATGTTTAACTCATTGCTGTTTGGTTATTCAATAATTCTTTCAGCTAAATGTAACTTTTAATAATTTACTGAACTTTATTCCAGGTTGATCTTAATCGAGCTGCAGAGGTTCATATGCGTAGCTCAATATAAATGAAATCGTTTCCATATGGTCATGTCAGTCATAAAAACAGTGTTCCTTTCCCAGGGTCCTGATTGTGTTGTCCAAATGACCATTCCAACATTTGTACTTCATGCTCAACCTCAGATATTCTATCTGGTGTTAGTCATTTCACACCTCCATAGCAGATGAACTCAGCTCTGCATGCACAGTCCACTTTAGCTACAGTTCACCATCCGTAAGCAGTGTCCTGGTATGGCCTCAGCTCCCATTCGCTGAACAAGTTTGACCTTGTTCAGCATACTTAGCTACAAGTACTTACGCCATGACTGCAGGAAGAAATCATGTGTTGAGACTTTGTAATGATGATTATTAAACTGTTAGTTGAAATTTGTTAGTGTGTGTTTGTAATTAGTTTTTGTGGAAAAGCCCAATGGTGTAACATTCATAGCATGTTAACTAAAACAAGAAGAAATAATAATTTACAGATAAATTCCTTGTCAACACTCAACTTTTTTTCGGTCAGATCTGAAGGGAACACATGGTGAGACTTCCTTGTTAAACCACCACAGGCTAAGAATAATTAAAACAATGTGTGTGGGGTAAACCACTGTTGTTTAGACAGTTTAAGGCCTGTTACACATTTCCCAGTGGTAAGTAGGGATTATCAGGATGTTAACTGATAATAATGACATGGCAAGATGACATGAACATTGTTAGCAAATGATAATGATAATTGTTGACAACAATAATGACGATGCCAGTATTGATCACGATCACACCTGTCACTATTTGACCCTTTCAGTAGGAGGTTATGGAGGTGGAGGCCGCGGTGTGGGGCAAGGTGGTCTGGTGCCAGGAGGTGTCGGGCATGGTGGTCTGGTGCCAGGAGGTGTCGGGTATGGTGGTCTGGTGCCAGGAAGTGTCGGGCATGGTGGTCTGGTGCCAGGAGGTGTCGGGCATGGTGGTCTGGTGCCAGGAGGTGTCGGGCATGGTGGTCTGGTGCCAGGGGGTGTCGGGTATGGTGGTCTGGTGCCAGGAGGTGTCGGGTATGGTGGTCTGGTGCCAGGAGGTGTCGGGAATGGTGGTCTGGTGCCAGGAGGTGTCGGGTATGGTGGTCTGGTGCCAGGAGGTGTCGGGTATGGTGGTCTGGTGCCAGGAGGTGTCGGGTATGGTGGTCTGGTGCCAGGAGGTGTTGGGCACCATGGCTTGGGTGCTGGAGGACTGGGTGCAGGTATGAAGATTTTAATAAAGCCTTGCCGACAATTGTTTTAGTTTTAGCAGAGTCAATCAGTATATCATGTGTATAGAGAGATATCTGCATAAGAATAAAGAATATGTATGCAACGGGACACGGTTTTGGAATTAGAAGCCTTCTGGTTTCTGTTTGTAGTGCAAATAGTATTTATCAGTCACGTTTGAGTGAGTCTGTGTGGAGAGTGAAAGAGGCAGACAGTATTGGCTGAAATGCATTCTCTGAACCCATCCGCTATCGTCTGACGACAATTGAAGTTTCTATTAGCTAAAAAATAAACTTTTAACAGAGTGTTAACCGGTTTACAATGAAACAATCTGGTTGCAGACGTCTCTCAACTCCAACTCTATTCTTGTGTCTCAAGTTGCAAGTAAACAATGACCAGAGGTTAACTTTTTGTCTTCAGAACAATAGCTGATGGGTTCCAAGATTGATCAGCATGCAGCTGCCTTGAGGAGCCGCTGTCATTACCCATATTCAGGCTTTTTCTCAAACATGTAAATTTCAGTAATCGAAATAAGGCATGAATGCCTATGAATAGAGACACTAAGAATTTCACAATATTTAAAAAAGTTGAACACTTGTGTCAAACTCTGCCTGTAACCTGTAGGTTTTTTGAATTGACATTTGAATCTTGACTCTGTAAAATGCCATTGAAACAAAATGTAAAATGTTCTTCAGTTATTTGTGTGTGTACATATATATATATGTATATAAAATATTTCAATATTACAGGGCTAAACATACCCTCACATGCATTTTTGCTTGTTTTGACCCCATAGGACAAGGTGGAAAGCCCCCGAAACCAGGTAAGTTGGTACATTTATCATCATGGTATTGAGTTTTGTAGAAAGTGGTGAAAAGTAAAAGAAAGGGCAGGTTTTATGTAGTATGTACTTATATTTGTCTTGTGAATTTTCTTTACATTGAACAGTTTAATGAAATACTTTGAAGATGTAGTCACAACCCTGTGTTCTTACAGTACAGCACAGTACAATACAGTAACAGCTGTAAAGCAGTACTGTAATAGAGGTTAACAGATTTGTTTTGTTAACAACATGGAACATTCCTCAGCACTACATGTTGAAGTGCCTTGGTAGGAAGGAAATGTAATGTGTTGTTATGGGATGGATAATGTAGGTAAATGTATAGACTACATTATTTTTCCCACACCAACAGAACAGGAAGACCTACACAGATGCAGGGCACCAGCTGAAGAGAGAAAGTCTTTTGATTGGTTGTCACCAAGTTTTTCTTATCACCCCTGTGTTTTTGTCGAGGTGGGTTCACACTCGCTTGGCAGCTGGTTGGGGTGTCCTGACTGGGTGGGACCGTGCAGAGATTCCACTACTCCTACACCTCTGCTGTATTAGAGAGTGATGATTGGCAAAGTGGAAATGGCCATCAACGCCTGCCAAACAATGGTGCCAGAGCACTGATTAATGTTATTGTATAGTCAGACCCTTACAATATCTGGAAACCTCCATGTTGAAATTTACCACTACCATTCTCTCTGATACCATACAGTAAATATTTTCCTTTGCCGTATCACAGTCTGCGCTGCATCGGTGCTTTAGCAATGTTTAGCCAACATTTAATTTCCGTAAGCATTGCTGATACAATCTCAGCCTACCTCTATGTGTTTAGAAAGATAAGGAACAAAGCAATAGTCTTATAGTCCTGATAACACTCGAGTGGGATACAGAAGGGTCCCACTGGAGTGCCCCGCCTCTGCCCTCCAACGAGAGTTTCAGGAAAGCCATTTTGTGAAAATGACCTAATATCCAGTCGTTGGTGGAGGTTTATTTTGGCTGGCATCAGCAGAGCCTTACTTAGGAAGAGTTGCCTTGGCTTTTGTATGCATTAGAGTTCTCCCTACAGTGCATGGCATACAATAATAAAAGCAGCTCCTTGTGTTTTTGAGATCAGTTCAATGTGGGCCTGGCTGCTCTCTCATATTCTAGTCCTGTTGTAGGAAAAAGCTCTTACACACAATTCGGGGTCAGCAAAGGTTTTACACATTTTTTAAATTAAAGTAGTGACTTAAATTTCCCTAAGGGGTTGTAATACGTTCCGCTTCAAGGTAATCACCATTGTAATGGTGTTTAATGATCTGTCAATGTTGGTTTCCATCAGTGGAGACTTTTCATATTGGCAATTGCCATTCCATCTTTTTTTGGAGATGACAACTTTTCACATATCCTGTAGAAGTATTACATTACTGTACAAATGTACGGCTACAGTTCACCAGCAGGTAAGCCTCTCACAATAGCTGGTTGAATCCGCCTGCAGCAGTTTGTCAGTGTTTGGCTTATGTCCAGAAGAAAATAATATGCTTCCAGCATCTGAAAATTTGTTGACCCTTTTTATTAAAGGAGTTGTGTCAAATTTAGTGGCATATAGCGGTGAGATTGCAGATTGCAACAAACGAAACACCCCTCTGCTCACCGCTGTTTGGTTTGTCCCTGTTTATAGAGGACCCGCTCCCTATGTAGATGTAAATGGCTCATTTTAAGATAACAAAAACATAATGATTCTTAATTGCAATTGATTATACACCAATGAAAACATGGATTAATATTATGTTCCATTTCTGCCTATACTAACTTCGGCTAAATCCTACATACTTGTTATCTTGCATGGCAGTTGGCTTCTTGCACTGCCAATATTGCGGGATCACATGGAAATCCATCTTATCGGGCTTCAAGTAAGGCGTCTGTGTCCAGCAAGCCAGTGCACAGACCAATCAGCTCCCGTGATGAGCTACGCTGCCAGGCAGCTACGGGCGCGGCTCAGGTATGTGACAGACGGTTCATCTACGTAATCACCTGACAAGTATTTTTTGAAAGTGCCGACCCTTTTTCAAACTGTTTCCAATGACAGCCTCTTAGATGGTTTTGTGTAACAAACCATCGGGCGGGTCAGGTCAAGACACTGGTATAAAGCAGTGTTCTGTTACTAAAGAGACACAAATCCAAACACTGGTAAACTACTCTTAGATGCACACCAGTGTCATACACACCAGCAAGAGAGCTGCCATTAGTTCTTGTGTGGAAGCCAAGCAGTGACATTATATTCCACAGATACACACCTTGCCAATAATGGAGAACAGCAGCTGGCTATGTGAGTAGCGTGACTGCAGTGAATTGCAGCGTAGCTCATGGAAGACCTTGTAAATGTTAGACTAATTGTGAAGGCGGTCAGCATCCAGCTTTGACAATACACTGAAAGCTGGAAAGAGGAACCTTGTCTTCACGAACAGCTGTTGGATGTCATCTCCTTTCATGTGTTCCCTGAAACAAAGGTGAATTCAATCCTCACGGAGTTATTGCCAAAAATTGGCTTTTTTTTAGGCCTCTTGTCACTTTGTGGAAGACTTTAACAAGAACCATAGAGGTTACTGTTTTTGCTTTTGGTGTAGTATTATTTTACAATTACAATAGTCTGTTTTAGATTGAGAAAGGATGTTTCTGTGTGGGATATCTACCGTATGTGTCCATGCTTAGCTGGCCAATTGACTCCCTGAGAACAATACAAATTGAAGATGATAGAAAGACAACATGCTGTCCATCCCACCTTTCTCTCACTGTCTGAAAACTGACAATGTCACACAACACTACATCAATCATCAATCATACTATAGACACCACCCTTGTGTTTCTAATATTTTGTTCATCCTTATGATGAATGAGGGTCTCCACAACTACTTATAAGAAACATCTCTCATTATTGCTATGCTATGTATTACTTAAAGTGTGTGGGAGGTGTGTTTGAATAGAAAATAGTAATGACTAAAGGAAATAAATTGAAGGCCTGCTGGCAGTAGGATATTTGGGGCTTCCCTTGAGTTGTCATCGGCAGTTAGCTCGAACAGAGCCTCCACGATCGGCCAGCCCAAGCTATGTTTGTCGTGGATGTTCTTGAGCCTGATTATATGAGCCTGCTACTGTTTACAACCTGTGTAATGCAATACAACTCAGCAGCACCTCAAACTACAGCCTCCTTCATGAAGGTAGGATGCGGTGATACTCCTGTGACGGCAGACCAACCCGCAGTTGACAGAGAGTTTCAGTAGCTTCTGACAGAAAATACGGAGGTGGTTTTGACTTTTCACAGGCTGTGGCCAAAACAAGCTGGTACTCACTTCAAGGCTTTTGCTATAAATATTGCTCATGAGCAGATCATCACCCACACACTCATTTTAAAGTACAAATTTTGGATAATTTTCAGTATAATGTACATCTTTGTACGAGTTAAATAGTACCGCCCATGAATACGCCTGATTCTTTTGCTTCAAACATTCCGGTTCATATTCGGGTCATTGTTTGAAGAAGCATTGAGTGACAACTCTTCACAACAGGAAGAGCGAGGAAAGGCAGAGAAATGGAAAGATAAAATGGACACGGGGAGGCAAGGAGGACAGAAAGGACCTGCAACTCTTGCGAACATACCGTGTACTGTTTATGACACACACACACACACACACACACACACAAACATTATATGCATTCATGCATGTATGCACATGCATCATTCACACACACACACACACACATGCTTAGATAGCTTGCAGAAAGAAAAGAGACTGATAGATTACTGATGAAAGTGTTTAGCCAAAAGAAGATGAGCATGGAGGAGGTTCAGTCTCCTGGAACACATGTGCGTTTCATTACCGGAGCTCAGACCTGTCCTCTGAACTGTCAGAGACTGGAAGCATCTGCATGTTAATGCGCATAACTGTGAGTGTATGTAAATATGTTCATGTGTGTGTAATTACAAATGTTAGCACATGTGCACACACGCACATAAATATTGAATATGTATCCAGATATTAGTTTGGGGACGTATAGTACCTCAGCACACAGACACACGGCATAAGTCAAGTGTTGCTTATTAAATCAAAAGAACTGTGAACGATGGCATTTTCCTCTATTCTTACCCACTTACCTTTCCTCCCCGTTTTCTCAATCTGTTCTCCACTGAGTCTCAGTGTCAAGCTTTCAATATCTTGGAACTTGAACTGTCTGCAGAGGAGACTGTTTTATTTTATTGTCGGAGCCCACGCCAACCCCACACTCGATTCCCCAATATTTACACAGCCATCACAGCTTGTTTGTTCTCATTGGAAATACATGATGTTTCCCCAACTATTTATCTTGAATGATGTCGCCAGATGTTGTTGTTCGCGTCTTCAATAACAGCTCTCCAGCCTTTCACCAGCCTGTCGTGTGTCGTGTTTGCATGATAGTTCTCTTGCGAGCATGTTATTACCAGTATAATGGCCTTTGGGTCAGTTGATGAGCCATCACTTAGCATGCTCTCACAACCTCTCCTCTGCTCCGTTTGCCAGCAAGTCTGGAGCATGGACCACCATCGTCCATCTGGCAGCACAGCCTAAGTGATGTTTATGTAGTGTTGGGGAAAGAGTCCATGAAGACAGATCACTTGTTGAATGACCTTGTTGTAGTAATAGGTAGAGGTAGACTATTAAAACTGAGAGCCCGTTTTGTGGATTCGTGGCTAAGTAAGTAATTTCAATGATGTTTTCTGGGTTATTGGAGCCCACACTGGGTGAGTATAGTTGTAGCTGATTAAAATGTCCAACAAAAGGGGGAGAATGTTGCATCATAAGTTGCTTCACAACTTAAAGCAATACTTTTAAAATGCAGTAGGATTTTAAATAGTCAATGCAATGTCTATATAAAGTAATTTATTCTTGAATTATTCTTTTTTTGCTTGTTCCCAGTGCAGTTGTAGTCATTTTTAACAATCTTGTATTTTGAAATGATATGACTCACTGACATTATCT